CAGAGCTCTGCAGGTGCACACCTCTCAACCTTTTAAGCTTATTGTAACTGCTTCTCGAGAAACACTTTTTCCAAAAACACTTTTGCAAATTTGCAATACATGTGACCACATACAGACATGCATCCAGACACACACCCAGCCTCACAAGAACTTGACCTCCATGCCAAACTTTAGACTCCTAGGGCGAAAACTGTGGCCTCCAAATGATGGGGACATATTAGTTGGCTGACCGACCAACACAGCAGTCTTTAGAGCTGCTTGACGCAGATAAAAGCGTTCGGAATACCAGTGGAAATCAGTTGCACTCCAAACAATTGTGTGGCTACCTAACATTTATAAGACACAAGGTGTTATGAGGAGGTTTGTTTTAAAATAGGACCGTCAAAGAACTACAGTATGATCATTGACTCTCTGTTATGGAGATAAACAAACTGACACAAGCAATTACATGTTGTCTAACATTTTCATTGTTGCATGAATACCTTCATGAAGTAGTTTTGCTGCTTTTGCTCGTCCTCCACATTGATCACTATAATTATACGGATTCCTCTAATCTCTCTTGACAACATCTCTGTCCAAAATAAGTAGGCCATAGTTCTGGGAACGTTCTGTGCAGCCTTTGTGGCTGAGAGCCCATGCTAACTGCTGTCAAACAAAGAAAGATCGTGAGCTTGCTGACCCCATGCAGGTGTGTTTCTGCATCTCAACAGGAGCAGTTCCCATGCACTGAACCATTTTGTCCTTCGCTAAGCATTTGATCCTGGCATGGGGGAGCATCAGGCCATGCTGTTACTTTGTTAGGTTTGCAGGGGTTGTTACCTTTATCTTTGGCTTCCATGGAGGATTTGTTTTCATGGGATTTCTCATATCTGACTGCGTATTCCTCTGGAGAATGTAGCTTAACTGGCAATACACTTCTAAAGAGTCTATTTTTACCCAGCAAGTATTTATTGTAACATAATAGAGGGAAACATGGCTCAGGAGGTAATCGGAAGGTTCCTAGTTTGATCCCTGGCTCCTCCAGAGAGTGTGGAAGTGTCCTTGAGCAAGACAATGTAATCCTAACCGCTTATTATTATTATTATAGCAGCTTTATTTTTAATATCATTACTGATGGAATGGAACGGCATATGTTTGTTATTTGGCTACTATCTTAATATTTCCAATGCAATCAAACATTTACACCTATGCGTCCAAAAGCACAGAAAAGACATTGCATACATAAATCACATACTGCAGGAGGGGAGACTTGTCCACTCTGATCTACCACAAACATTGCAATTTGTGCACAGCAAACAATGTTTCCTTGTTTGTTTGCTTTTCGACTTTGAAATGTTTGCTTTACATTTGTCAGTTGAACACAAACACACCAGTGGAATCAATCGGCATCTCTTACATCCTATACATATTTGCTTGCAACTTTGTAGTTGTCGCTCCCTCTTTGTTTCATCCTCTGTCTATTCCCTAAACAGTGGCAGAATAATTAAAGCTGCAGGCTGGAGAAATGTTTTCCTCTCTACAACAAGCCTAATGTGTAATAGACGGGTTAATGGGCGCATTGTTTAGGACTGAAATAAAGAACATGGAAGCTTGAAGAAAAGAAACAAATTAAATAGGACTTTGTTGGTAAAAAAAGCCTTTGAGGAAATGTTGGACAGCACCAATGACTGAAAACATGTGTGAAATGTAAAAGAGAAATGATGGATTGTATATGTTTGACTCACTTGAGGATATTGAGATTTGAAATAGACACTGTAACCTCAGACTATAATTGACCCCAAATACATTGCAGCTGTTTTCACGTTGCCAAATGGTGTTTCTCAAAGATGTTGTGCTCACAGACCAAAAGTAAGACCATTTCAATTAAATTCAGATTTTGTTCAGTCACAAATGCACACCCTGTTACAAACGTTCAGATTATTGAATAGCAATAAAAAGCGTTTGTCAGCTATGGAAAAGATTCATGCAAATAGACACATCCTCTGAGCACAATTTGCATGTGCATCAATCAAAACAAAAAGCTGAATTATTTATTATATCAAGGGAGATACTCTGAAACTCAAGCTGCATTGATGATTCATGACAGCGGTCACAAGTTGAAACTATCCAGCAGGGACATAGCAGACAAATAACGTGAATAGAGAACTGAGTTACAATGCTAATTGGTTTGCAACTAACAACAGAGCTTTGTCTTTTTCATGATTTTCTCATGTTATCTTGTCTGCCTCCCATATGAGGGGATCAATAATCTCTTTTTTTTTTAAAAGTCCAAGTTCCTGCTTTAATGTAAACATCCTTCCAACATTAAGCTGCAACATAAATGTACTTAATAGTACCTGAAGACAACCGTATAGGGCATGAATGCACCACTGCGTATAGCTAATTTGTCTAGATGCTGCCTGCCGCTTTCAATGACCCATTAGCAGAGCACGGCTCTCTTCGGTTTGCCCGGCATCAAACCGCAAGGCACCATAAAAGAGGAGATGCAGGGTTTCAAGATAACAAGAGACTAATGGTGAGCCGAGAGGTGCTTTTGAGAGAAGACTGACAGGGCGAGAGGTCCACAGAGAAAATGCAAGCATTCATAGAACAGCAGGATAGAAAAGACTTGTCCACTCATATTCCTCCCATTCACAATACCATCAAATGAAAAAAATCAAAACAAATCATGGTGGGCACAAAGAATGCCCAATGGAACAATAGAACAATAGAACAAAAGGGTACAAATGTTCTTCTTCGCTTTCAAAAGATACTTCAAGCCACACTCTCAAAATGTAAAGACTATGAGCACTGTACCTGAGGTAGTAAATGAAAGGATACATTTCTTTATTCAGAAATGCAGCTCAAGGTCAAAACAAAGTGGTGATACAACAAGCAGCTCTGAGCTGTGAGGCCAGATTACACAGATAGTACCCTGCCCTTACCACACGCTGAATCATAAATCATGCATAGTATTTTGGTAAGAAAATCACCACCGCATTTGCATTTGCTTGTTTCCGATTATCAAGGACATCAGTGAGCCTCATCTTCACTCATATGCCTGACTTGACAAGATAAAAATCACATTATGTGTCAAACAGATAAGCATGTTGCCCCGTGTTCTGCATCGAGTAGCTTAGTAATAATTTCATTTCACTCCGAGGTTCAGCATCTGCCACAACACATCAAAGTTAAATGTGTGCTTGTCTCTTTTGAATAATATTTGACCATCCTATTGGACCAGTCCACATGTTATCCATCGGAGAATTCACATGATTAATGAAAGACGGAGTGGGAGGTTACGATGGAGCTACTGATAGACACTTTTATTGTGTCAGACAGTTCCTACAATGCACTATACTCACTGGACCGACGTGTCTGACATATGCAGCCGACCGAAATTAAAACTTCTGCAGGAAGGCAAAATGGAAGCTGCAATTACCGTTCCATTGGAACTACTCAGACCACAGTCCAATTACTTGAATTCACTGTGAGTGATGTTTCATTTGTTTTTGTGCAATAAAAGCAGAATCATTCTAATCTTCACTATCAAGTTTACATTTTTATAAAGCGAGGTAGACAGCCTGAGAGGTTCTAAAAAAGCACTACACTGATAATTTGAAGCACTCTTACCAAAACGCTTTTGTGGTGTATGAGTTACAGATCAAATACGCAGTGGCTATTCAGTTCCCACGTATGACAGCCTGATGAATATGGGGAGATTGTATTGTCCCATCATAAAACTAAATCCGGTTTGAAATGTAAAATAAATTGCTTCACGGCACCGTTTTTTGTTAAATAATTGTATTTATTGTGGAACTATTTCGATTTTGTCAAGCAATATAAATATACTAGTGAATCACATAAGACTGTTTTGCTTTGTTATTGAGGAATTGAGAATGTTTGTCAAAGTAAAGACAAATGACCGTGTCATTTCTCTCACTTCGCATGAGGCGCTTCTGAGAATGTGTCCCACAGAAATAGCTGCGACTGAAATCACAAGATTGATGCGAGAAGTAGAGCTTGAAGGTTTTAGCAAGTTAAAGTTCCCCTCGGTCAAAATCAAAGAGGGGTTTAAAGATCTCTGACAAGTTCCTCCTTCCTTCCATTTATCACCGCGTGGCAGCAAACTCTGCTTTACATAACTGCTAGGTCAACAGCTCAGCAGTGGCATGGAATGAGGTCATTTTGCATACATTTCAGATAGTCATATAACAAGATATACCATGGCATTTTTAGATGTTAATTACAAATGGTTTGTACAGTATGAGCAAAGACATTCTTTCACTGAAATTGGCACACAGTACTTGTTTACAGTAGACTCAGAGTTCAGAAGCACAGCAGGGTGATTGGATTTTGTGACCAAGCTATTTTATTGATTTCATTTCAAGTGAGCAATGCCACCATAGTAACATGCTATGCAAAGAAAGGGGTGGGGCCGGTTATATCTTTGTAAGTGGAGAAAAAATGCAATTTCCAATGACTTTGCAAAAATAGACCTGGTTTTATGTTTTAAGAAATGTATTTAGCTCATTGTGTATGTTTGCTTATGGGTTATAATGCTAGAGGAATCATTTTCAATAATGGTTTATTATCCTGAAAATATTTAATTGCAGTTACCTGTATAATTTGTTAAGAAACACACAGCATTTACAAGATATTTGAGTGGTACGTGAAGAAAAAGGAGAGAACTCACCACTTAAAATGCAATATATTCTAGAGTTCTAGTCAAATCCGTCTAAAAATGGAAACCTCGTCAGTAAATAAACCTTTTCTACTTCCTAAAAACAGGTTTCACCGCTTTTCAGTTGGAATTATTGACAACAATATTTAGGACACTCTTTCAAAATCATAAAGGAAAAAGAAAAGCTGATTTTGTTTTTTAATAAATGTTGAAAATCTTTTTTCTAATGTTTATTTTGTTCCGTTTAGAGGACAGAATGACTTTTATCAAAATTGTCATTGGCATTTGTGTACCACCAGTCCTCTCCACTAACTCCCCTTTCACCATGTCTCCACAGGTACGCAATAGGATGGTGTTTGGCGAGGCAGGAGGGCACAGCTACTTGGTGGCATGCTGGCAGCCCATCCTGATCCTCATGCTGGGCACCGTCCTCTCTGGCTCCACCACCGGTTGCCCCTCCCGATGTGACTGCAACGGTCAGGAGCGTTCAGTCGCGTGCAATCGACGGAGACTGGCAACTCTTCCTGAGGGCATCCCCACAGAGACTAGGCTGCTAGACCTTAGCAAGAACCGTCTGAAAACACTGGGGCCCGAGGAGTTCATTAATTACCCTCAACTGGAGGAGCTGCAACTCAACGAAAACATTATTTCGTCCATTGAACCAGGGGCTTTTGGCAATCTCAATAACCTTCGAACTCTAGGTTTGCGTAACAACCAGCTAAAGCTCATTCAGCTGGGGGTGTTCACAGGCCTGACCAACCTCACCCAGCTCGATATAAGTGAAAACAAAATTGTCATTCTGCTCGACTACATGTTCCAGGAGCTCTACAACCTGAGGGCTCTGGAGGTAGGCGACAATGACCTGGTATTCATCTCACCCCGATCATTTCATGGCCTAAGCAACCTTGAAAGCCTCAACATTGAGGGACGCAATCTGGCCTCAGTGCCCACTGATGCCCTGAGCCATCTGCATAACATCTTGTCACTTCAATTACGCTATCTCAACGTCACTGTCATGAGGGATTACTCCTTTAAAAGGCTCTATCGACTCAGAGTGCTGGAGATTTCTCAAATGCCTGCCTTGGATACCATGAGCGCAAAATGCTTGTATGGACTCAACCTCACATCATTGTCCATCACAAACTGTAATCTTACGGTCATCCCCTACCAAGCCATCAGTCACCTAAGGCATATCCGGTTTTTGAATCTGTCTTTCAATCCCATTCATACCGTGGAGGGAAACAAACTGTTCAATCTGCAGAAGCTCCAAGCTTTTCATTTGGCCGGTGGAAGATTAGCTGCCATTGAACCCTACTCATTCCGAGGGCTCAACCACCTCCGTGTACTCAATGTGTCCAGCAACAGCCTGAACACCCTAGAGGAGTCTGTGTTCCACTCAGTGGGAAACCTGGAGACTCTGGCTTTGTATGACAACCCGTTGGCCTGTGACTGTCGCCTGCTCTGGGTCTTTCGCCGGCGGTGGAGGCTCAACTTTAACAGACAACAGCCCGTGTGTGCATCACCTGACCTTGTTCAAGGGAAAGAGTTCAAAGATTTCCCAGACATTCTCCCATCCGACTATTTCATCTGCCAGAAATCAAAGATAATGGATTATAAGGTTCAAGAAAGCCATGTAGATGAAGGAACTACGGTTCATTTCGCTTGCAAAGCTGAGGGAAATCCAGGCCCTGTGATAATGTGGCTGTCCCCTAAGAAGAATTACATCACTACCAAATCTGCGGTGTCAAGACTTTCTGTGTCTAATGAGGGCACACTGGAGGTGCGATACGCCCAAATCCAAGACAACGGCACCTACTTGTGCATTGCAAGCAATGCAGCAGGCAATGACACCAAAGCTGCTCACCTTTTTGTGCATAGCTACTCCCCCAATTGGCCCCAACAGTCAAATAAGTCATTTGCCTTCATTTCCAACCAGCCCAGCGATGAAGGAGCTAATGTGACCCGGGCCACCATTCCATTTCCGTTTGACGTTAAGACACTTATAATTGCAACCACCATGGGATTTATCTCTTTCCTTGGAGTTGTTCTCTTCTGTCTTGTAATATTATTCCTCTGGAGTCGCGGGAAAAACAATATCAAGTCGAGTATAGAGGTTGAATATGTGCCACGTAAAGAGGAACCAGAGGAGGCCAGTCCAACTGAGGAACCCATACAATTCAACATGAAGATCATGTGAAACTCAAATGGAGAAGCTTACAAACAGCAGTCGGGATTCATGCCACCTTTGCTTCAAATATGTACTCCGTTAGTGAGCAATATAAATTGCACAGCAGCAAACGCATCTTGACAAAAGACCCTTGAATCTTTCTTTTTTTTTTACTTCAGGGACTGAAACTTTAAAAGCAAATGTTGAACTTCAAATATTCAAATTTCTGTATATATGTATTGGCAAAACTGTATCAGTATGTTAACATGCACTCAACAACATGTGTCGAACAAAATGATGGAAATAGTTGGAAAAAGCACATGGATCACAGTAGATGGGTTTCCAAAAAATGATATGTGGGTTTGTGTCTGGAAGGATGTGGACATTAGTCTCCAGATACAATCTAATTATGAGCACACAATAAGAGAAAGATATTTTTGTTATGATGTTGTTGCCATGTTTCGCTATTATAATGTACAAAGCACAATAACCGATTATGAGAACCTAAGTTCAGTTACTAATTAAAAATGTGAAAGGAATTTTTGCCATTTCATATTGTCCCATCATAAGCATTTGATAAGTATGACATGAGTATCATATCTATTTTCTAAAGATAAATAGCAAAAGATAACAGGTTGATAATAAAGTTAAAGTTTGTGAGAGAATATAGATGTACTGAAGAAGTCATGAAATTGCCAAGATCAACGTTAAACTTTGAGAAAGAAAAAAATCTGCATTGCAAGATTTGGAAATAAGTTTGTAATGTTGAGCAAATAATAACTTGTTATTTGAGAAAATATCTGTTAAAAACAATATGATGGTGGATTAGAAGGACACTTTCTAACCACCCTGCAGGTCTTTTAGAGCAGTAAATGATGCCTTTAACATCATTATTTTGTGTTCTGATTTTTTCCCTTCAACTTGCGCATGTTGAAAAAAAACATGTAACAGTTAATCCAACAGTATCGTTTCCCCATTATGTCATAGACAAGCCTTTTCGTCCATAGGGTTTACATTTGACTGTGTCTATCAGTTGTATTAACTGGAGTATTTCCTTATCTGGTGACAGCTAAATGATAAGTGTGCATGTTAACACACTGAAGAAAAGAAATAAGCCAGTACGTGATTTTCTCCTTTCTGCCAACAAAGGAAGTGTTTCATTAAATGTATTAACATACATGTTCAGCTATAAATATTCTTTCTGTATTTCATTATTTTCTTGTACAATATGCTATGGCACAAATGTAATGCTTTTAATGGCTGTGAGTTCTGAACATATTACCATCCAAAGAGCAGATTAAATATTGATGTTTTGTTGATGTGACCAAACAAGAATGAGTGTTACAGCTCTTCAAAGTACCTTTGAAAATCATCAGATTAACAATTTATCATCAAGTGCAACAAACTTAATTTGTTTACTGATTTGGCAGCTCAATAAGCGTAAGAACTCCGAGTCCTGCGGTTAAATTGTCACCGGTGCATCAATAAAAACGCTGACATTATTAAATTGTTGCTTTAAGTAACCCATTTTCCAGCTTTCAGCTGAGCAATACCCAATGTGTAAGGGGTAAACTTGAGTTTAATGCCTCATAGGGATTTTATGTTGTCTAATTAATTTCACAGTCAAGGCCTGCTCTGAAGATAATGTGTTCATTAACTCTTAAAATACTTGTTTAAAAAAAAGGGATGGGCAGATGAAAATGCTATTAAAATAAATACGATTTTATACTACCGGGTGCTTATTTAATGCTAATTTAGTATAGAATGTGACGATGCGTTTATCATCTCTCAGTCACGTTTACTCCTGTGCTGCAAGTAATGACCACAGAGCTCATTGCTTTAAATACAGAGGCTCAAAATGAAGCACACTTCATTGAATACCAATTAAATACTCATATTACCGATGAATGTTAATATTTGAACTTGCCAATGTGGTCATAAAATGTCATACAGTGTGTACAGACCTCGTAGTAATGTGACACCATGCGCTTGTCCCAGGGATGTATGTATTTGTGCCCTGTAAACCAAAAAGCCATGTCAAAGTGAGATCAGGTTACCATGGTATCCTTTTTCTTTTGTCACACTTGGCTCAGCTTTCATCAGTCTAAGCTGCATATTGTTAGGTTCAGCCCTCCTTTGAGCTTAACACACAACAACATTTCATACTAAGCACTGTAAGTGTGTAAGCTGTGGCAATTCCTAAGTTGTGCAAGCAGCCACTTCTCCTACAAAATGTTTGGTTGTAGTGATAACAGATGCTCAAAACAGAAACATACCATTCAACTGTCAACTTCACACAGGGGACAGCACATTACACTGAAAGCTTAAAAGGCAGAAAGACGCCTGGTCCTGTTTTAAAGCAGTAAATGTCAGAATGATACAAAAAACATCACAGGGACATCAAGAAAGAATGTGCTTGCCTCTGGACAGGCTTATACAAATAATATGTTGTTTTTCTTTTAAATCACATGATATTATCATGATATCATATGACAGTGCAAGACATGTGCAGACCTTATGTAGGTGATATACTGTAAGAACGAAGTAGAACCAGTAGAAGGTCACTTCTGTCTCAAGACCTAACATGAGACTGCCTGTATTTTTCTTACGGTTGTTTGTAACACTCACTAACCAAGCTCACGGTTCTCTGAATGGAAAAGGTAAAACGTGAAATATTAGTGAACCTGTTGGTCTTTGCAATTGTGATTACACAAACAGAGCTATATAGATACACAAGCTCCTACACTGACTTCTGGCCCAAAAAGGCAGTGTTACATTTCATGACATCCGCATCAATCCAGGGATCCAGTTACTCCATGAAACCAAAACTGCACTATGCATTTATTATTTTTCTACAACATGGGGATATGGCTGGAATAACAGTAAGGCATTCTTTAAAGTTTAGAATTTGATTAAATAATTGGTCGTTGTCTCAGTGTTACAGTTCCAGTACTAGACAATGTGCAGGTTTCAATGCTTTCTATGAAAAGAAAATGGTGACTACATATCTTCTTGTTTTAGGCAGACAATGTGCTTCACATTTATGAGAATAAGCTTGTTGTCACGCTCCAGAGAACATGCCGGGACCTGGTGCATCTCAGTTATATGCTCAGTTGGACAGAGCAATAAGACAGCAATAACTATAACACTCGTAAAAGCAAGAAAGCATGAAGGCAAAAGGGAGATTACTGACAACAGAAAGGCATAGTAACAAAACGATTTTACATTAGGGTGAGTTGTCTTCTTGATGCTTTCATAAAACTTGAGAAAAAGACTTCACTTTTTCCTTCACTTGAACACTGGTTTAATAAGGATAGTGCAACCCATGTATATCTGATGGGCTGACACCATACTGTAACTGGCCATATACTATTAGTGATGAAAACGTTTTTCCGATAGCACATTGCAGCAGCCCTACAAACATGACAACAGCAGCTGGTTTGTAAAAGCGTAATCGATTCTGTATCGATACCTTGATTTCAAGCAAGAGACATTTGGAGGCCACACTTGATAGAATTACAGCTGCACTCTGGGCTCATAAAGAGACAACAGTAAGCAGACGGACATTACTGAGCCCAGTAATCACTGAAACTTTCAAATCGATTCTGTAATGCAACCAGTGTAGAGAAGCTAGGGGAAAATGGCTGTAATGGTTGAATGAAACGTGTTTATTTCTTATAAACCAAAAAATCATGATGCCATCGATTTTTTTTGCCAAACTTGATATAATATATAAGGGCTGTGAAACCATTTTGTCTAGAGATGTATTATGGCCATCAACAAGGGCTACTGTTATGTAAAAGAAACAAAATGGAATATATTCACAAAAGCTTGTAGGAGAGGATATAGAGATTAATAACACAGCCAAAAAAGATCCAAAGGGGAGAAAGCTTAAAGGCACTTCATGAGTAAATAATGAAGCAGGAGAAATATACACACCCAAAGGACTTAACATTTTCTCTTTGACAGGTGAGATGGGAGCTACATCTGGGGGTTATTATGAGCCGTCAACAATTTAAAATCCATTTGAAAAAAGTGCTTTGGTGATAGAGTGCTTTGAAAATCGCTAAAATAGGCATGTACTATTCACATTTTCTGATCAATTAGATCTCTATTCATCACTTCATTTGTGAAGAGGAGTCATTTGATGCACATCGGATGAAGAAGGAATCAGTCGTGCAGGCTATAAGTTAATTACATTTTCAAGGTGGTGTATTGGCTTGGCACTGGACAGGCACAAGACGAACAAGGATCACCCTGCGTCTGTCTCAATGCACAAAAAACACCATGTTTGATTAGACCGACACATGGAAAGCCCTGTATAAAAGAAGGTTCAACCTGTAATGGGTTTATAGAAGAGAACATAAGAATGTAAAAGTATCAATCCAGTCGAAGGGCTTATACAACTACTACTTGACCAGTATATTGCCAAGGCCTCTCCAAATACCATTAAAGAGGAACATTCAAGTTACTCTCAGTAACCTCATCCTGAGCAATGACAAAATGTGCTTTACACTCTAAATGCAGTCCCTGTAAAACTTAACTGCAAATCTGGATGGGTGAGAAAACCATCTCCAGTCAGCACAGTGCAATAGATAGGTATTAATGCCCCTCAAACTGTTCAGGGAGGTCATTACATGCCTCATGTTTCTGTATGACTTGTGCTATTAACAATTAGCAAGCTGGCTAAAAACCAAACGCCCACTAAGAGAAATGTGTCGATGACTCACATGGATCGACTGCAAAGGAGGCAAAGCATTTTGATCACAGCATGTGCCCTTGCTTACTGCTCAGGAATGTGAAAAATGCCACAAGCCAAATTCTTATTTACAAAATGTCAGTTTCATTATCACCTTCGTTTATTACACGGGCATGGTCCTGGAAGTGAGGATGGGAGGAACGGTAAAAGCCAATAAAGCCCTTTAGGAACGCAATTCGGTTATTAATGTTCTTAGTTGCAGTTATACTGGGTTTTCCCACACTGGATACTTATTCTCCTTCACCGAAAACACATGCGTAAATGAGAACTGAATAAATAAGTACCGTCTTTATTTATTTCAACTTATATATTGACATTTCTGAAACCTTTTTTCTTATATACAAGTAAGCACAGTACATGTCATCTTCAAGGGGATTCAGACATGTTTCAACCACTTTTAAAGTTACTGTCATTACCATTTATAACCATCTATGGTGGAAAGCTTGTGACAGATTTAGGTCATATAACAAAGTGAAAGGATGGCAGTTTTGGAAGTTCCTCTGAGACACAAAGGCATCCATTAAGAGTTGTTCTCAAGCCTCAAAATAAAGAATGGAATATCAATATATACGACGGCAGAGTGGAGTGGCACTTCATTAATCTCACCAAGGGTTCAGTTGCACCCATAAGGAGAACCTTTTTCACCTGACACATTGAGTGGATGTGTAGCTGATGTAAACTGTCCAAATGCTCATGTGAGTTTGACCTCACTGTGCAGCAGAGATGCCTGCTAACAGCTGCCTACAGCTTATTAACAAGTAAAAGCCAAGAGACTATTTATAAATACAGTGAGTCAATCACTGTATTTCATTCACTGAATATATATTGATTAAGGTAGCTGAAGCAGTAGAAACAGTATTCCTAAATCTCTAGCGGTGGACACATTTCTACCGTTGCACAGTCAAATCACTCAACCCTCATTGAAAAAAAAAAAATGTGTCCAGCAGTCAAGCCTGTTTGGGGCGTAAATTGTTACCTGGGCTTCTTTTATTTGCGAATAACTGGTAAAATAAACGACTGCCCAACTTAAAGGTCTCCTATTATACTGTGTTTCATCAATATATTATAGGTGTCTTACATTGGAAGTGTTTAGCTTGAAATACCCAACAGATCATGCATTGTAGCATCCCATATCAAAAGCTTATCAAAAATCTTAACTTCACATCACGGTCCAAGAAAACGACAATTTCTCACATATTATTATGGCCCATGTAAGTACACCACTTAACATTCACATAAATGTCCTTAATCACCACCTTACAAGCATTTCACTATTTTGTACAGTTAGTGAGATGAATGGCGCTGCATGGAGTCCACCATACAGGTGTATGCTGGAGTACCCACTTAGGTTCACTCTAATAGAGTCATTTAAATGTTCATCAGTCAGTCTTGTTCTGTATTAAGATTTCATGACATTCATGTCAGAAAAAGCTGCTTCACAAAAGGTATGTAGAGCCAAATAAAGCAGACATGTTCAGTGCTGCTTGGTGAATGTTCTTATAGTTTTCTGGGTCTACAAGGCTCCAGAAATGTTCTGAGTTTTGCTGAGACTTAAGCTGAACATTATTTTGGAGATTTATAACCTCCATCTCCAGAGGATTGACACTGAACAGTTCAGCCATCTTTTTCTTCTTCTTCTTCTTCGTCTTGACATTAAATTATAAACCATAATAAATTAATTGTATAGGTCTAGCCTCCCTGTATCTGTGTGTGAAATTGTTCCATCCTCAAAAACAAAAAACTAATGCTTCTGCAGTCTAGCTGCAGCTTCACGGTCTTCTGTTCTAAAAAGGACACTGAATGTCTTGAATGTGGCATCACAAAAATGACTTGAGTCTGAACACAGCAGGCAACAGGAGTATTTACAGCAGCATATACAAACTAAAATAGTGCATGTGGGTGCACACTTACATTCTCTGTCTTACTGTTACATAAATCCCATGAATGTATGAGATTAAGTTAGCTTCATCAT